TGACTAGTCATAACGCTAACCGCTACCTCAAACGCTACCACTAAACAGGACCTAAATTGAAATTAATTTTGCTACACGTAAATAATTTTTACTAAATTGAAATTATTTTATTGATTCTCTATTATATTCTTCTTCAAAGTTACTGATTTTTACTAAATTGAATTTTTTAAGTAAATAATGAATAATGTTTTTTAAAGGTGAAATAAACAAGCCCTTGTTCATGTTAATTTTTTTTATACTTTGGATTAAACAAGATAAAATAAGGGTCTGTTCTCATACGTTTATTTTCAGTTCAGTTCGGTTCAGTTCAGCTCAGCTCAGTTTAGTTCAGTTCAGCTCCTAATTTCCTTCTCTTATAAAATATTCAGTTCAATTTAGTTCAGCTCGGTTTAGTTCAATTCAGTCCAATTCAGCTGATTTCAGTCTATTAGAACAAACCCTAAGTTAAAATATGATGAAAAAAAATATCCTAATAAAAAGTTATCAATAACTTTGGTTATATGCGAACCATCATATTTTTCCATAAATTTTTGATATTTTTGGAATCAAATCAATAATCTATAATAACTTTCAAATCCATAATAATTTCCATATTTCACAAGAAAATATATTTTTTTAATTTTTAATTTTATCCTAGGATCATCAGTTAATTATGTACTCCATAGTCAATACTCCTACAATATGAACAAGTCAATCCAAAAATGTAACTTCCCATTATATACGGATATAATAATCGTGTCGATAATATAATTTCAATAAGATATGTTAAGAAATAATCCTAATTGCTTAAGACAATTTCCAAAAATAAAATTTAAAAACGACTCGATGTGTCTAATGACTCATCAATCAATCATCCTAAACCTAACATTTAATCCACCAAATCAACAATTCAAAAAAAAAAAAAAAAAAAAGAAAAAATCCATCAAATTAAACCTCAAAAAATAAAAATAAAAAAACAATAAAAATCATCATTAATTTATTCCCGTCTAACATGGGGCAAGCAAGTGGATAAGTCTAATGGATAAGAACACCACATCGTGTCCTTTTTCTTTTTTTATTTTATTGCAATTAATATTTATTTCTACCATTTTTATTTTCTTTTACATAAATCTTTTGGATTTTTATCTCACACCCTATATTTTTTTTTTTTTTGAGAATATATCTCACACCCTACATTTATCCTCAAATTATCCCACTTTTCTCCTCTCTTTCTCTCTCTTAAAAATAAAATTATGTTAGTAAACTTTTCTTCTTTACTCTTCTTCTTCTTCTTCAACATTTCCTCCAAAATATAATAAAAATCCCAACTTTATTATATTTTCCAAAATTATTTTTATTATTATTTCATTATTATCTATAAATTATCCAAAAAAATCATGTCAATTGCTTTGGGTAATAATCGGGTTGAACAGATTTCAAGTGGGTATTTACGGCGGAATAACAAAATGTCTCCGCCGTATAATCTGCCGTCGATTTTAGATTCCGGCGATCGGACGGCGATAAGGGTGGTTGTGAAAGAGGAGGAGAGAGAAAATGGGTATTCAGATCCATGCAGTTCTTCATCTTCTTCGATTGGAATGAATAGTGATGATGAAGAAATTGATGAAGAAAATGAAGTTGAAAGTAAATTAAATAATACTTCGTTTGATTCTGCTGTTGATGCTTTAGAACAAGCTTTACCCATCAGGTTTTTTTCTTAATTTTTTTATTTATTTTGGTTGATTTTGATTTTATTGATTTGGGGTTTTGTTAAAAATTTGATCTTGCTTGTTTATTACAGTACTTTTTTCATTTTTTTAATTAATTTACTGTATTGAATGAAGTTTATCCTGTAAAATTGAAGTGATTTTTTTTTCCTGGGTATTTTGGAATTAAAGTTAATTTTTTGTGATTTGCTTTGATTTGATTTTGTTAGATTTGTTTGGTTTGATTGATTGTCTTATTGAGTTTTATTGTATGATTAGAGTTGATTAAGCTGTCCTTTTATATTTTCCAATTAGTTCTTAATTTGGTTGCTGGTCTGAATCTGAAATGGGGCTGAATTGTTTTAATTGTCGTGTTATTTTATTTTTCTTTTTCTTTCAATTGGGTAGGTTTAATTAGAAAAATTGAGTGTTAATTTTGTGAAATTGGAGTTAAATTCTGATAGAATTGAAGGGTTACTTGAAGTTAGAATTTTGCTGATTTAGAACAAGTTGAACTGATAGTTAATTTTGTGGTTGAAATTTTACCTATTTGATAACAATAGTCAAAATAAAGGTGACAACTTTACTACATAATCAATTAATTGATGTTTAGTAAGGTACTAAGGTGTTCTATCTATACCCCAGAATTTGGACTGGGAATTCACAATCAAATTGAGATCTTTGAAGTGATAATGTCCTTCATTTTGATTCTTCTTTGTGAATTTGAAAATGAAAATTACTAGGAATCCTTCTAAATGATTCTGATTCGACGCGGCGAAAAGATTTAGTATAATTTCATATTGGGTATTGTTTAATCCATTGATTCTGACCATTTATGGTCTAAATGGTCACTACTAATTTGAAGAGCATCCATCAAAATGCTTCAAGGAATGATGCCTTCTTAAGAAAAGGTCTTCAAAGAATATTATTTTTGAGGAAAAGAACTTTCAATGCCTCATTTTAGGCTCTATTATTGCTCATATTTGGTTGTGTTTTGTTCTTTTTTGTTTTAAATAACGTTGCCTGTTGTTGAATGGTATATATTCTTTGAATATTCTCTAACATGTTTGAAATTATTTTTCCAATTTTGCAGGAGAGGAATATCCAATTTCTACAATGGTAAATCAAAGTCATTTGCGAGTTTAGGTGATGCAGCTTGTTCGTCTATCAAAGAGATTACGAAACCAGAGAATGCTTACTCAAGGAAACGTAAAAACCTTCTTGCATATAATCTTCTCTGTGACAATGGCAGGACATCGTTGTTGAAAGGAGGTTCCGGGATTGGAGGTGGCATAGCGAAAAGACCAACCAACTCTAGTCGGAGCACACTAGCACTAGCTGTCGCTATGAAAAATTGTGAATCTTATGCCAATGAAGATGGTTCGGTTACTGAAACGAATGGGAGGAGCGAGGCGAGGAACACTTCCCCCTCCTCACCGTTATCTCCTCTGCCTCCTGCGCCTTGGCGGTCTTTTTCCCTTGCTGATTTGCAGCATTGTGCTGTTAGTGCTAGTGTTGTGAACTCTAACTTATCTTCCCCTTTAATTGGTAAAAGAAATAAACATGATGAAGTATCTTGACAGATAAATGTAGGCTTTTGTTAATGACAATTAACAATCATATATAGTAGGCAGTGTTCAACCTGCATGTTGACTTTTATGCACAATAGTATTAGTATTCGAGGCAAAATCATCTGTTGAAAGTGCTTATTTAGCTTGATAAAAGGGTTAAATATTTGACAAATTATCTAATTCTAGGATTACTACTTGTAGAACTAGTTCAAGTTCTATCAACCTGATTAACCGTTCAAAATTTGAAATCATATTATATAGTGCTTGAGTTTCTTGTATTTTCATGCTTGATAATAATGCATATTTCAACTATCAATACTTTGAAGTTTCGATAAGCTCTTTAATTGTAAATCACCATATTATATAATATATAATGAAAAAAGTGTGAAGATTGTGAATAGTCTAAAACTCAAATTGTTACAACTTTTAAGACATGAAGCAAGTATTACAAGATGATATGGAGTTGAGAGTTGAGAGCAATTATCATAGACATTTTTATGGGCATATCTTACCAAAATAATGTCGGGGGCAAATAATTGTTTTTTTTTTTTTTTTTTTTTTTTTTTTTTTTTTAAATAAGGGCAAATAATTGTTTCAATCGGATGATAAGGGAATTGGTCTAATTCTATTTACAACGGATTAGTTCAGGAAAATAAAATTTTGATGAGCAATATCCAAGTTCAAATTACTATAAAAGTCTAATAAGTTTTGATTAAATAAGTTTAGATAAGTGAAAATAGAGTGAATAAAACACACTATAAGTAGAGATTTCAAATTCAGACCTACAATAGTTGTTGGGAGAACTTTTACTTTATTTAGGCTTGGCTTGACTTAGATCTTATTCAATCAAAGTTCATATATTCTAAATTACCAATAAAATAAGCAATTAAATCACGAACGGGAAACGTTAGATTTTAGTTACTTTGCTACTTGTTCCTTTCTTAATCCCAACTCATATCAAACCGCGAAGAACATTTAACCATATCATCCTTCTCTCTTACAATAATTTCTTATCCTTATCACACCATTATCTCCTTAATCCATATTTTTCATACCAAGCGTCACATCATGACAATCTTTTTGCATGTTACTAGAACAAACATATGCCATGTTACATGCATACATCCAGGTGTATATGGACTTTTTACCTTACAATCAAAGACTTGAAGGTGAAGATCACAAAGTTCATCAAGTTAACTATTCTTGCTATGCATAGGTAAACTAAATTGATGGACTCATACTAGAATAGTTCTATAACAAGTTGCCTCAAGGATTGAAATGTGAACCTAACACAACATCAGACAAGTAAAGTGCTTTTTAGACTGCTTTCCTATTTAGTGGCTTATCTAGTATCTTATCTTGTATATTTATCCTACAAATTAACTATTTTAGTAATTTATAAAGGTTACTTGATAAAAGAAGAAACCAAATGTATTCTTTTTCACTTTTTTTGGTAGCCAAATCGAAATAGGTAATAGGTTGTTCATGTTTAAACTGACAATCTCGTGTTCCACACATCTTTTAGTTAAACTAAACTCAACTCAACCTATTCACGTTAAATCAAATCAAACGTAATCGTATTCAATTGTACTGGTAATAAGGCTAAATTAGATGAAAAGCATAAGCTAAATGTTAGATAAAACGCTAACAGAAAATTCCCCTCAGATGGAGAAACCAGATGTTTTTTTATCAAATGCATTAATGCATTACTGCATATAGTTGGGACTTATTTCAAACAAGCTAATGAATGTAGAACCAAGAACGGATATATTTCTAGTACAAACAACTTCAAATAATGCTAACAAAGCATCATCAACCTTAGTCGCTTCTAGGATTTTTATTACAGTAGATTATGTGCACAAACAGGTTCTACTGAACAAGTTACAAGCTCAGAGACCAAAACATGGTGTAAATGAAAGAATGCAAGTAAGATCCTATTTCATACAACCTAGTGAGGTTTAATAACGTCTTTTTATTCATCAGGAGCTGAAATGAAGCTTCATTAGTACCAAGCATATCCGAACTTCCCTGATATTGAATATGCCAATATTTACATTAGAATCATACACCTATTCTTCTACAAAGTAATGCGCCTGCAATACCTACGTATATGTACAGACAAATGACAAGTAAATTACAGATCTGATGTATGAACACTAGATACTACATCATTTATAAGGCCAGCCATGATAAAAACTACGGTCAACCTTGATTTTCACTATGTGGAACCGAAATAAGCATCACAATATTGACAATTCCCAACACAAATTTACTTCGCCCAAACCTGCAAACCCTTTCCCCCTTTACAAAATAGGACTTTGCTATGGAAGACCACGGAAGAAAGGATTTGCCAATGATGTACCATTATCTTGTTATGATTTATCCCGAGTAAGTGTCTTCCCTGTTGTCTTCCATGTACAAAGTTGTACAAGAATAGGTGCCGTGAGCTCTGAATACAGAACTAGATCATACCTCAGAAAGTAACGCTGTTGACTCAAGCAGCAGCAAGAGGTGTCAAACAAGTTTCTGTAGTACCATCGAGTAAGAACTTAGCAGCAGGAACATTTGATAGGCAGGCTGGGATTTTGACATCCATTGGATCTGTAGCTGGGATGGCTTTTGATATATCTTCGGTAGAAAAGGGTATGCTGCAGAAGAAATCAGAAATAAACACAAGGTCAATCGGCAGCAATACATAATTTCATATCAGATCAGCAAGGAAGTTCACAAGTTAACCATAATGCCAGAAAGATTTCGGCTAATTCAATATGGTATGCGACTTATGGTTTACTGTAAGGTTGATTTACTGTCAATTCAATACTATGATCAGAAAGAGAGTGCTTTAGTAAACTCTGAATTTGCAGTCAATGCTTCCTGAGTTAGGACTTGTTCTCTTCAACTTGTTTTAGATACTTATTACTTATTCCTTAATAAATTCATATCATATCAGATCAGATCAAACCAGACCAAAAACATTCAGATCAGATCAAAAATTTTAATCATCATTTACTTATTGCTAAATATCGTTAATGGCGTATTAAAAAAATTTATGAAAATTACATATTTGAAAAGTTCATAATGAGATGAATCTAACAAGACCTATTTTGATAATGTTTTTTCTTTATAGATTAGTATTAAAATGCGGTCAAAGTTTAGTCAAATCATTGAATCAAATTAGATCAAATCAATCAGACAATTCAGATCAGACCAAACCTTATAAAATCAGCCTAGATCTCCTTGTTTCAGGTAAAGAGAACAAGTTCTTGTTCAAAGACTTGGTACAGTAATTGCCTATAGGTGGTAGCCTACAGAACAACTCAAGGCACTTTGGACTTCACCCTTGAAGACCAAAAGCCAAATCGATGTCTAACAATATAGTGACTCGATTCAAAATGGAGAAGATTATTTAGGATTGTGGGAGTAGAGCCTCAGTTATCCCAAGCTCTACTCACTTTCCGTTTTCATCTATATTAATTGAGTTTTGCTATATCCCCTTCATGATAAAATAGTTATTCGGATCATCTCCTACAGGGCCATACATGTAGTGACCCTACAACGTAAAAAAGTTCCTCCTCTCACAAGAGTGGTGCATTAATCCATCTTAAAGGTTTTCATCCCAAAGGTTAAAGTACCCACATAAGTGGTGCATTGTTTCTGTTACTACAATTTGTCCCAATTAAATTGGCTAACTATTCACATACGTTTATCTCAATATTATTCTCACACTTTTATGAACTGGATCCCCTTACAATTTATCATTTCTCTTTTCCCAGAATGAAAGTCAGGATATTAATTGATTTGGAATGGTAGTATAAAAGAATTGTATTTTCGGTGAGAGAAATTGGCATTGTGGTGTGTTACTGTTCAACATATGTAGCTAGCCAATTGAAGAAGCTTAGAGTGGTAAAGTTTTTGGTGATCATATTGAAGTCACCGAAGGAAGGACCAGGTTCAATGAATGACATAAAAAGATATGACAGTTTCATTTGTTAGATCATGAGGGGAGGGGGACAAAAAGATATGACAGTTTCATTTGTTAGATCATGAAGGGGGGGGGGGTGTTCAACTGGGACATATTATACCCAGCACTCCAGCAGCTCAACTATAACAACGTTCAGAGTGAATTAAACTGCAAAAAGCACATATACCTTAAATCATCATCCAGCAAGAATGAGTTTGTAGCTAGATTCTGGTTATCTTTATTCAACATCTCCCTCATTTGAGCCACCACCTGACAACCAAAGCCAATTTAATAAGCCCACAATACTTTAGTTTTACATGTTCGGGACACAAAACTATTGCCAAGCTCATGTACATTTTCAAAAAAAAATCTTTAGACAACATGCCAGACAACAAGTCAGATGATATAACATTTACAATATTAATCCATTTGTTGTAGCCAAAACATGGGCAGTATCATTTAAACAGAAAGAACCAGGAATGCAGCTAACCTCATTGGAAACACTTTGGGTGCCATATTTATCATCCCAGTACATAGTGCTTATTCTATAGATTTGTCTTACAGTTAAGGCCTGAAAAGAGGTAAACAGATATTTTTCCACCAAAATCCAATGTCAAAATGAATAGTGAAGCAAGACCCGGTTAAAAACGGAAAATAAAACTATAAGAGGAAAAGATCTGAATACAAGTCTAAAAGGGTAAAGGATCATACTGGGCATAAATCCTGCTTAATCTCTTCCAAAGACTTCTTCCTCTTTTGATGTATTACCTATAGATTATTAATGAGTATTCTACAAGTCAATACATTAGAAATCTTAATAGACCCAGATGCAAACAAAAACATACTACAACTACTACACAAAACATACCAGGAAACCAACGGCTTGTCTGATATAGTTCAGCTCATGCCAGGCAGTCCCAGCAAACTACAATACCGTCAGTAAAGAAATTTCAGTATGACATAGCCACTCTATTAAGTAAAGATCAAAAATTGAAAGGAAGAGCCAAAAGGGGGCCTTTACCTCATCTGTCACACATGCAATCCATTTTTCTAGTTCAGCCAAACCAGATTTTACATATTCACCATTCGAAAAAGTGCAGCATTCACGTCGCAGTAGTAGACTGCAAAACATTTTCTTTAGCATAAAAAGCAGAACTACGTCTGTAACAGCCAAAGACAAACCTATAAAAGTACATACCTATTGAAGAGATTAATGTTGATAAAAGAGAAAACCTGGGTAATGAGCTTGCGGATAAAAAAGGAGGGTACCTAAAACAAGTTCCAAGATCAGTATAAAAATTTAGCAGACAATTGCATCCCCCCCCCCCAAGCACACACACACACGCATGCACGCACACACACGCACGCAAACACACACACATGCACGCGCGCACACATGCACGTGCACGCACTCTTCCTCCATTTCATTTTAGTTGACACATTTCTTTTAGACATGGTATCCAACACACAACTTCATGTATTAATATCTTAATTATGTATAAGCAAAAAATATACTTCCTCTATTTTTTTATTATTGCACCATAGGGGTTGGGTACAAATATTTTGATAGTGGAAAAAAGTAAGAGAGAGAAAGATAAAAATACAAAATTGCCCATGTGACATATTGATAAACTAAAAAGTAAGTGTGAAAAAGCAAGGGTATGTTGGGTATTTGTAGTGTGAACACAAATAATTTTTTTCCAAAAGAGGAAATGGTGCAATATTTGTGAAACTTCCTAAAACAGCAAGTGGTGCAATAATAAAAGAACGGAGGAAGTATTAGTTTTATGATTGGAAAATAGACATTAAAATGAAACTATGAATCTAACAAGACCCCACATGACTTTTGTTTTTTTAAAAATAAACCGCCAATAGAAGTCAAAGTAACTATTGTGAAAAGTGCCAAAAGTAAAAATTGTGTCAACTAAAAAGATATAGAGGGACATGCATCATCTCTCTTCAATTGTCAATTATGCATTGGGAATGTCATTGATGTCAGTCTTATTCCATTTTAAACAGCATAAAGTTGATTTTTAAGTAAATGACTCACGAGGGATATTAGCAATAAGGATAAGGACAACAATCGCCACATACATGATTTTTATGTAAATGACTCATGAGGGAATCCAAGAATTGGATGATGCTATCCCATTGATTACTCGTCAGCTGCTGTGGTACACCTCCAGGTGATCTGGATGACTTTCCACCTCGTGCAGTTTTTGGAGCCTACAAAAAATACTTCAGTAAATTACCAATTAACAATCAACAAAGAAGACTTATATGCTGTCTTAGGACCACAACTACAGAGGGGCATATACACACATGTATGCAAACTCCTAACAAAGGAGATATTTCTTTCTTCAAATTATCACGAATCAAGCCAAATATCTTCTCAACAGACGCAGTCAACTGTTGCTTAAACAGGATCGCTGGATATCTTGCTTCAATGTGCGATACACCATCATCAAACCCAATAAGCTTCAGGGGAGTCTTCATACCCTATCATACAAAAATTGAGCATAAATCAAGAAACTTGAATATAGATAACTATTACTTCGTATTATTCATAATTCTAATTATCCTCTTCGTATTCAAATAATGTGCCTATTCAAATTCTATATAGGCTAAATCATAGTTTCCCTCCTAATATGATCTTAAGGCTTTCATGAACAGGCCCAATAAATGGAAGGGATCTGCAACTCTCATTCTAAATAAACACCCCACACTTGAAAAACAATAATTCTTTCCAGATAGAAGCCTCAAATTTGAAAAGTACAGAAAGTAAATTCCCATTGTAGCATCTTTTTTCCCACATACCAATCTGGGAACAGCATTGAATAGGAAAAGCTGAGTCACAAAAGATTCATTTAAAAAAGCCATTTAAAAACTAGTTACCAACAATGCACTTACTTGTGCAAACCTTCCACTTATACCAGCAGATCCAGCAGCTCGATTGGAAGCTGAATTCAAGAAACTATTTGACCTTAAACACCTCTGAAGGATGCATAAAAGTGCGGATACATTAGATAGCCAATAGGGTAATGTGTCATTCTCATCCCCAACCTGAAAGCATTATGTGAAAGAGGAATCAATCAAAAAATGCAGAGAAACCAATTTCAGGTATCATCTAGAATTAGGTAAAGATGAGACAAATCCCAGAAATCTTACCTTCAAGGCATTATTGATGCCCTCAATAATATGGTCAAATATGGCTGTCCTCTCTGATTCAAAGGCGTGCCAGTGAAGAAGACATTTATAGATGACACAAGCAGCCACAGGTTTATTATCTTGGAATCCCATATTTTCTTTGATGCATTTAGAGAGGAATTCATAATTTTCCTGCAAAACAAGACAGCAGTTTAAGCACTAAAATGATTAGAAGAATATGTTCTGCTTTACCACATTGGTTATGAAATGTTCACTCGTGGAAAACAAAAACTTTAATCATGACTAATATCAACCTGGTGCTTTTCAACAGTTTGTTTTGACCAACGTGACTCTGATAGTCCTGGAGTAATTGAAATATGTTTTGTTGGTGTGGGTGTCTCCTGTTCAAATCAACCCTTAAGCATAAACACATGTAACTATATCAGAAAGCTTCAAATTGAAAAGGCAGCTACAGTAGAACTTACATAGATGGGTTTCTTTTCCTGATATGGAAGACTCAATGCACTTGAGTACATCTGGGGAAACAACAAAGTGGTGAAAACATCTCAATACAAAGCATGTAAAATCTACAAGACAGTATATGAAAGCAGCATGAAGTTTCACAGCTGAAAAATGGTATGGTCACAACAATACAATTATACACAAAAACGATAATTTAGTGCAAACTTTCAAAATTTTGTTGAGCATACTGTGCAAACGATAGTAGTAGATCTAAAACAAAAGTTCCATAATTCGGTTTTGCTTACACAACACAACTAGACTTATGATTTTTCCAAATACAATGTTAAACATTTTAAAATGCATAAAAAGCTGAGAGCCTATACTTACATCAGAAAATGATTTCACAAAACCTGGTCGATTTCTCTTCGGGGACATGTTCAGTGCTTTTTGCCGCAACACAAGATTTTCATTCTCCAAATTTGACACCTTGTCCTCCATACTACAGCAGAAAAATTCATTGTATTTGTCAGCACTAATTAAAACAATATAGAGTAGATGATACCAAACAGAAAGAAGCCTGAAATAAGTGGGTGAGAGAGTAATAAACCAATACAGCAGCCGACAAGGTACCACCACTACCCACCAAACGAGAATTGGGAAGCTTAAATAAAAGACTAGAGGAAAAATCAATTTAATATAAAAATGTATCATCATTCAGAGGCGGCGAGGCATCATTTACCAAAATTCCAAAGATACTAAAGACAAACTTAATCATATGGTCTTTCTTCAATCTCGTCAACTAAAAAAATTGATGCGCAAATAAATAAGCATCCAGATCTTTAAATAATCAATAGCAAATAACATAAATATATAAAATGCTAACAAGATAATTTAGTGTGCCAGATAATTTTCATATTGTTCCCGGAACTATTTCTTTAACAAAACATAAAATTACCTATAATTTTTGTAACATGTTCTGTTTTTGCCGGTTTCATAAATCATAATGTTACTTAACAGAAGGTGGAGGGGGAGGGGGGGGGGGCATTTATGTTGAGAGTTTGAGACTAACAACTAACAAACAAATAGTCTGATTTAACAGCTTTCTGCCTACAGTTTTAATGTATGGTATATATAACATATAGCAAGAAGGGTTAAAACAAAACCGAATTTGTAAACGATATGCTATGCAACCAAGATATGTAAATGCATCTCAATAGTATACTTTCAAATACCAAAGTCACGATATGGACCTTCGCAAGTTTTGTTGCAGTTGTTCACACTTTTGTTCAACATCACGCAACTTTTGCATGGTATGACTATTCTCTTTCTGAGCACTAGCCAGCTGAGTCTCCAATAATAAATTCTTCTTTTCCAAATTTTCTAAAGAGCTCTGCAAAATGTTTAAATCATAATATTTAACCACAGGTACTTGAAACTAAGATGATATAATTAAAAATTAAAGGCAATGAAAGGAAAACATGTAATGTTTAGAATTACAGAGGCATGCCTGTGTAAAAAAAGGTAAAACATATTATTCACAACTATTAAGTTTTTCTAACATAAGTTCCAAAAGAAATAAACATGAAATATTTTAAGAAAGTAATGAAAAAAAAAACCCATCTGCAATGTCTCTGGTCTACTCACTTCTTCCCTCATCCAAGAACCTACAGTTTTACTCACCTCTTGCTCACAAAAATAACATGGGACCTCTTACCACATCATACATATTAGAGAAAATTATACTATTGGTTTTTTTTAGCTCCTATTCTATTAGGAATGTAAAATTTTATTTTTAGATATTACCAGAAAGTTTGAAACAATAGTTTGGGTATAGTAAGGAAATACTTGATCATTTCTCAATTCATATATGAGTATTATGCTTGGAATGTTTTACAATACATGCATCATTTCTATAAACAAAAATCTTTTAGGTGAACTTGATTTACTACAGTACTACCCATTATTTGAGAGGTCTTAAGGTGTGCCTGGTGGTATTAATAAATAAAAAAAATATATAAAAATAAATAAAAATAAAAACAAAAAAACCATTTTAAGCGCAGCTATTGTGTAGAGCTACTTTAAATAGATGACCTAGACATTGGAGAGGCATTTATGGGCCACGTCCTCCACAGCTGTGTACTACTATACCCCCACATAATGTGTTGAAAGTGCTTTGCTCTTTTTAAAGAATGCAAAAAGTGCTAGATAAATAGTAGGCAATTTAATGAACATTTGCATCCAAGATAGCTTTATTTACATCACCCAAAATAATTTTGTCTTTTTGACATTTCACTATCATAGTGATGTATTATTCATCAGATATATGCAACAAAGATACTGACCCGCAAAATTGCATTTTCCTTCTTGAAATCTTCCATGTCCTGAAGTTGCTTTTGCAGCTCATATTTTTCTTTCATTGAAAATTCCAAGTCACTTTGACGCTGCGCATTTTTACTACCCTGTTTAACGGTCTGTGACTTAGCTTCCTCTAACTCTAGATTTAAAGCTTCTATAACCCTCTGCTGTTTTGTTATTTCAGCCACCTTTGCCTCTTCAACTGAAACCTGTATTTTGGGTAGTTTGATTTGGTTACAAATGGCCATTATAAACAAACATTCCTCTGACACACACGGTTACAAACGAGCAAAATATACAAACTACAAATAATCCTCTAACATTGACACTATTTACTATCAACGGACACCATTGATCAAAAAGGATATAATAATCATTTTGGTATGTAACCACCTAAGAACTCTGCAAATTCAACACCAATGCTATGAAATAGTTTTCCTAGATATTGCTACAGATACCTTTAAATTAAAAAGCAAAATGACTTAAAATAAATAAACAAATTAAAACAGATGTGTGATCCTGAGATGACGAGAAGCCAAAATGGGCACCGAAAAGAGAAAAACAGAAAAAGCCAACAGAACTAGGCACAAATCAAGCCACACAATGAAACCCTCACCATGTCCCCATCGGCCCATCAATGAAATTAATTTCCAAGAATCATACTCAACTGTATGAATTTGAAGGTGCCAGTGTTTGATAAGAAGAGAAGCAGTATAATAGTTGAGAATGCAATACCCGTAGTCTCTTCTCCAAATGCAACCTCAGGGTAAGATCTTCAAGTTGCTTTTCAAGTTTAGTCTTTGCCTTGCGCAAGGCACCAGCTTCATTGGCCTCCTGAAAAATTAACAGTTAGATTAAACTTGTTTTATACAGGTAAAATGGACATCTAAATGCTAATCAAAGAAATTATTCCTCACCTGCAATTAAAATTGACCAATAGTAACATCATTTACACCCTCTATCCCACAATATCTTAGCCTATTATATATATACATATATAAAATAACTGTACTATAAAGAAATCGTCATATAAATCAACGTCTCCTTTGCCCCTTCCCCCACCAACCGAACTTTCCATATTATTTTCTTATGATAAGAAAACGTAGTTAGACAGGGAAAAGAAAAAAGAAAGTGAGACACAAGAAAATGAATCCAGAAGTACACCAAACTAAAGCAATACGACATATAAGATCTCCAATGTCCAATCAAGCATTAAACCTACATCCAAAAGAGCCACCCCAACAGAGCCGACACTTTAAGCTTATCAATGAAGACACTTAACCCCAGCAGCTTTTACTGTTTCACAAATTAAAACGTACCCTACAACTTCCAATCCTCTAATACTGCATCCAACAATAACAAAAAAAAAAAAAAAGCTGTACCCCAGCACAACAATGTGGTTTCCCATATCTCCATTAGCTAAAATAGAAAAGAATTACAGTATCAAGTTTTTTGCTAATAGCATGTTAGCAACCATGTGAGGCTTTGACCCAATTCAAAACCCACTTTGAAACAATAGTCTTTCTAATTAAGGTGGCCATAAAAGAATGCTGCGAGTTAGGAATATCATAGGTATCTCTAACAAGCCAACTGAAAAAGAAGCTCGACGAATAGTAAGTTGACAAAGCAACAAAACAAAAGATTAAACTATGTCAAACAAGTTTATACTCAACCCTACTCCCACACAAGAGGGTTTCCTTTATATTTAAAAGAATCAAGGCAATTGTCCCACTCCCCACCAAGCAATAATAAGAGTACAATGAACTCCTTTAAAAAAAAGAGTATAACAAACAGTAGACAAGCTATTACAATGAGGGAGAAGTACTTTTGAGGTTGCTACTTCACCAAAGAATCCACTAAAAGAGCAATATGCTCTATAGGGAGAAAGAGTCCGACTACCGCATCTCAATCATTTATTTATGACTGTACCAACTACTGATCACCCTAAAAGCCATTTCCTTCTTGAGAGGAACATCACAACCATACCAATACCCATTCTTCCTCAGAATTATCTCCCCTTTTCACCAAAGTCAATTCTACTCAGAAAATTCTCCCCTAATTGATGTAGGTAGAGATCATACAATCCACCATAGAAATTTTTTAATACTACACATTTACATAACCTGAATCCTAACTGCTTATAGAATAGAAATTCCCATAGAGCATTAAAGACCCTAAGGGCTTCAACCATCAACAGAAAACCAGCCCCCTCATATCACTCAACTTCAAACTTTAGTATGAAAATGAAAAAAAAAATTGAAAATCTTCCCCAATTATGCTGAGAATCCTTAACCCACTAATTCACCATCATCAGCACACCTAGTTCATACATGACCAAGGTGAAAAGAAAAACATAACCATATGAGATCAAAACCAAATAAATAAAATCAAGGCACTGTCCAATACACCTTTCTGGCTGTTGATGATTATGAGGTTATTTTTACGTAAAATTCTAGTAACGTTGATTGGGTTGCAGTGCAGAAGACTAAGAAGAGAAAATGAAAAATAAAATTGTCAAACAACACTTGAAACAGTTAGACATACTTGCTTGAGCCTTCTAAGCATATGCCTTGCCATTTTACGCCTCCAAAGACTCTGTACTACAACAATTGATTTCTGATGTTGACAGAAAGCTGATCGGACTTTGAACATTCTCCATCGCGCCTAAAGAACATATATATAAACACACACAAGAATGCTGTTTCAGTAACACAATCGAATATACAGACAAAACAGAAATTAAATCCATAACAAATTCGAAAAATGAAGCTTTTACACTGCTCATTCAACTTGAAGTATCACCTCTTTTTCCAAGGTAAAAGAAACATATAGAAACATATATCCCCCAACTCCAGAACTTATTAAGCATTGACTACATGTTCCATATAAGTTAAGAAGAATACTACTCCTTCTGTTCCACAACATTCACTATACCAGCTATTTAAAACCATATCTACTGCTAAGACCGCTATACATTCACAATGCAAATAAATTACCAATTTGTCACTAAAAAGCACCAATGAAATAGACAAGTCAATTACGCAGCTACCAGATCTGTAATTAATTTACATAACGTACACAATAAGACAATATGAAAGGGAGGGAATAATAATCAAGAGTTACTATGACTACTATAAATCTAATGTATGACAAACCCATTACAGGAAATTCGCACAAAAATCTGCCAGCAATGCCTTTTAGATAGCAAAGCATGTTGTCGATTAGAACATCGATAATCAGAATAATTTTACCCACAATGTGAGGCCATAACAGAAAGAAAAATCCACCACTCGATGGATCATCAAGAGGCCATTCATATGGAGTGAAGGAAAAGGTAAGAATTGAAGATGGATATCAAATATGGATCATCTAAGGGGCCATTCGTTTGGAGTTGGGAAGTAAAAATGACAATTACTTCCATTCTCTATGTTTACATGTTTAGTTTGTAGTTGGTAGATTAACAAAATCTTATGATCCTTGAATCACCCAAGCTTTCCCAACTCATCTATCACAGTGCTCCTCCACAATAGCCTTTCTTCTTTCATCATCGTTGCCATTAATAACAAGGACTCCAGCATCTATCTCATTCAGGTGCTTTCTTTAAAAGGGCTAAACCTAGGCTTATGGTGCTCAGAAATCCGACCACCCAAAAACAACATCTAGGTCAACCAACACTAAAGGAGACACAAATTCCTGCAGATGATTTTTATATTCAGGTATCCTTTTTTCTCGTTATTTGACAATTGGAATCAATGCTTCATCATAAGCATCATATGCCTTTTCCCGAACTCACAGAAATTTACCAAATCAGTACCTTGCGTAGAAGCTAAGTAGTCCCTATCATAGTTTGTATAATTGACATATCATTCATTAATCATGCAACTTAGCGAAGTAACAATAATAAATTCACAAATATGAATAATCACAGGAATTGCATGGATAATCAGATATGTGAACACGGATGAGTTAGGCAGCAATTTAAAATTAAGGCCTCATTTTGTGCAGGAGCAAGGGAATTCGAGTTCTGTATATAAAGATTATAAACAGAAATTAACAAAGAAAATTGGTTAAACTAGCCACTAGGCAGACAAGTTAAGTAAGACTTTGAATCTTTGATTAAGATTTAAGATAGTAGCCTATTAGCATATAATGCTCTGAATTTGGCGAGGAAGGGGGTCTTAGCAAACAAATGCAAATTATTAAACATCTCTTACAGGCATATAATGTGAACTAATATAGTTCTTGATGCAGAGAGAACAACAATTTATAACAGATAGACCATGATTTGAAAGATGCTGACCTGAATGAGGATTGCAGCTCTATGTTCCTTCCCTAACATAAATCTTTGTCGAGCTGAGAGCCCACGTATGCAAGATTGAAGCACGATAGCCGAGCTGTACAGCTGTAAGTAGGCGATTCTTGATAGCCATCCACGCACATATTTCTGCAAGTAGATAGCAGCAAGTGTCTCCCGTTTTTCAGCATACATTCTTCTCACAAGACAGCCTACAGATACATCAAAAGGTTAGTACAAAAGCCAAGTGAGACGTTAAAAAAAGATGCATCACATATAATCCCCAATTAAGCTTGAGTTGAATAACGGCGGATAATGTACAAATTAGTTAAATAATAAAAATAGATGAATAGATGACCATATGCCACAGTGAAACAATAAAGCACATGATTAATACAAAGCATTAAACAGGGATTACATTTTAAAGCTAAGAAACCTAAGAAAGTTCAGTGCACACTAATATGATTTCAAAGGCTATCCATACTTCAGGAGCAAACATTAATTTAATCATAAAACAGTTAAATTCTTTCAATATTTCAGGAGTCAACATTAATTTAGTCATAAATCATATAAGATGTCTTGTAAGAGGCACAGATTGTTAAAACTATTCATTTCCATAAACCAACCAACCATTTAAGGCCAGAGCTTTCATCGTCAAAAGTAATGAGGTCAATTATATTTAAAGCGTCATGCTAACGGAGCACAAGTAAAGATATTATATAACCTCTGCAATATGCTTGGACAGATAATGCAGCAGCTCGAGTGGAAATGAAATCTTTGTGTGCTATGTACGTTTTAAAACGACCCTGTACAAGCCTGGCAGCAGAATCTAAGACCTCAGTCCTTCGGGCATCTAGTACACCAATCTGACCTGCTCGAAGAAAAACTTTTGACTTCCCCAGCTGTCAAGAAAACAGACAGAGATCATGGGTTAAATACAGAAAACCATGCATCCTAAGCAAACAGAAAAGAAAATAAATCATATAACGAAACCTGTGAGAACAAGAGAGAAAAAGGATAAAGAAATGGAGATAAACGATGTTTCATAATACTTTTAACAGAACCAAAAATACCAAAGTTTTTGAGTCTGATATTCAGCAAAGTAGAAGATATTTGGTTCCAAAATTTAAAATTGGTTTTCCATAAATATTAAATATAATTAACAAAAAATTGAAAACATATACTGCCTCCATTTGTCACCAACTCACTTTTGTGGAAGTCAGCCTTTTCTACTCATTACTCCTTTATTCCATTTTTGGCAACTCCTATACCCTTTACATCTTAACCCGTAAAACTTACACCTTTCCACACTTTCTTTGCTACTTTATTGTTATGGATCGGGTCTATAGCCCAAGTCAACCTTTGTTGGTGTACACAAGGCGCAAAAAATGGAGCAACAAGGGTCAACAACAAAGGGTGACAGCAGCAAGCATTTCTATGCAACAAGACATTCAATTATGAGGAAATGAAGGAAGAAAAGCAACCAGCTTCAGCAATGTCTACTTAGGGTTTTCTAAATTAGTAAAGAAGTCACATGTTTTCTCCCTAAATCAGCCTTGACCATTAGAGTCTTGAGTATAAGTATTGTAGTATGTGTAACAAGAAAGACATCCAGAAAATTGAGTGAACTCTTGTGAGATTAGTAGCCTCAAGCTACCTTGAGAACTATAGCCTAAAGCTATACTTATCCTTCTTAGTTTGTAATCCAATTCCTAATCAATTAATACTCAAGCTTTTACCTTCTAAATTATATGCAATTAGCTTAATTAGAATTGAGTGAATTCTGATACATTACATTTATCAACCTCTTTCTAAGGTCCACCTATTCAACATTTTTTTACTCTTACGTATGAAGTTGCAATATATGCCAACCATTCTTATAATGTGATATAGTTATAAGTAGTATAATTTTAAAGAAAAGAGCACGGAAAAATTATGAATTCATGTTTTGTAAGAGCATTTAACAGTTTTCGACCAACACAAGTCCTATGCACCAACATGATACAATGGCAAAACATCCTGCAAATGCATTAACATATATGCTAGAACATATTACAAAGCTAGATGCTGATTAAACAGCATACAATTTACCTGAAAGTATAAAATATAACACAAATTAACAAACTTAGAATGTTATTGGATATGTAACATGTGAAATAAATTGCCAAGTTACATATCTATAACTATAGACACACAAGAACTTACTTGGAAATTTTCAAGCTTCAACTTCTGAAGGATTTTGAGGGATATGGTCTTTTCATCATAGCTACAGCACATTAAAGGAGATACATCAATAGAGTAAAAGCATAATTTTCATCTCTAAATTGTGAATACCAGGTATTTTAAAATAAAATAAGAAAAGTGAAACAAAATAGAAAACTTACTACATATCAAAAATCAAGTTACAATAATTTTTTAATGATATCTATGAACCATCATACTACAATTATTTCTAGTTTCTCATTCTACATGTTTATAGTAGTGTTTAAGAAAAACTACAGCAGTTCAGAATCCCTATAAGCAGAGCCGAAGCACACCATAACCATATATATTATAATTGTAAACAAAGCCCTGCAGCTATGTTTCAGAATTATTACACTTCCTCCATTTCAATCAAATCACACCACATTACTTCTTCGGAAACTTCATTAGTGAATAGTTGCACCATTACTTGTTAGTATAATTTTAATGATAAGAGTCATGAGACCAAATTGCACTTCCTAGTTTAATTACCTAACCTTCCACTCCCCTCTTTACATTTAACTCTCTTCACCTCTCCATTCCCCTTTTCCATGGCTGCCACCGACATCATCACCAGCCCCCCTCACCCCAGTCCCCAGCTACACTACCACCAGCCCCTTTCACCCCAGAAAGCATCGCCACCACTTCCAGCACTGTAAAAGAAACTGCCACTACCGCCAGCCCCCTTCACGCCAAAAGCAACGTCACTACTTCCAACCACCACCTTCAGCCCTGCTATTGCGCCCCCTGGTCACGCCAAAAGCAACGTCAAATAACACCAGCTCCCCTTCACCTCAAAACACCAACAAGCCGCCGCCATGAACTTCAAACTTCCTTGAATTCCTTCATAATTCAATTCCTTTGATTTCGAATTCCGCACATTCAGTCCGTTTCAATATCAGATCCGAGCCATTCGATTAAGGGGGGGAAGTTGTCAAAAAGATTTATGGACAAGAAATTGTCTCAGTTGCTACATGTAAATGTCCACCTTTTAACCCAAAAAAGAAAGGTCACAGCAGCAGTTTAAAGGTAATAGTGGCTGGATTGAGTTAATGAGTGTAGTAGAGTAGATTGAAGTGGAATTATAATGGTGGTTAGATTTTGTATAAGATGGTGGTGGATCACTATTTACGAAGGGCTGACAGCCTCTTTTGTGGTGAGTTGGTTGGTCAAGGATGGAGTTGTCATCTAACATCCCCTGTCCTCCTTATAAAATGTGCCATTAAAAAGATGCAATTTTTTTGTGATGAAGTATATTCCAACGTAGAAATACAAATTAGTCAATGACACAAATTGACTCGTAATTTTGTCATAAATTCCCTGTTTAATATACTATTTTAAGATATGTATCAACCCCTAGGTTAATTAGCATCTGCCTACTTGACAAGCTAAATAATGATCCATATATAACATAATGTGCCCCTTAATATGACTCGTTTGGTTGACATGAAAATTAAATTCCTCTAGGATGTTGTAATTCATGGGAAATAATTCCTAGAAATTTCCTTAAATTGTTTGGTTTTGACAATGGAAAGTTAAAATTCCCAGGAATTTTGATTGACCAAGTGAGACCTTGGTAATTTACGTCTTATGTTTGTGGGAAGTTGAAACTCCCATGAAGTCTCCCTTCCTCCCATTATTTTTGCTTTTTTGTGTAAAGCAAACAACTATACAAATTACCAATTCCCATGATTCTCCACTTCCCCCATTTTATTTTGTCAACCAAACAAGTCCTTAAAGTACCTTATTGATTGAGAATTACCATGGAGTAATATTCCCCCTATGGCCGAGTTATGAAGGGGTTGGTCACAAACATGCTAGAAGATTTTAATGATTTCGATTATAATTATTCCACAAACGAAAAAATGTTGTCACATATTAGGGGAAAGCATGTTTAGCAAAACCATTCATTCACAGCATAGAGCAAGTCCTAATATGACAAAAAACAAAACTGAGGAAGTAATACTTAGCATAATCAGTACCCTCCATTTCTTTTGACCATTCTACTTGCAATCTTTATAGATTATCATGCATATGGAACCTAATACTCTGAGTAGACATACAATGAAAATTGAATTCATGTGAGTTCTTGTTTGCTTCATCTAAATGTGGTTGCAAAATATAAACTTCCTTTATGATTATAATACATGATTGAAGATACTTGTTCCCTCTTTTTTAGTGTTACCCGTACCAAATGAGGCTGTTTTTTTAAGTGTTGTATTTCCACTTTAGGCAAACTACTAAATTTTAGAATTATACATCTCTCCTCTCATGATCCCCACCCAAACCTACTGCTACATTATTATTATTTCTTTTTCTTGCACATACCTTAATTTACAATAAATATTAACCCCACTATTTTTTTATGATTTTTTAATACGCCAACTGCCATACATACTTCTTAATTCTATTATATTAAAGTCAATAAAATTACCTAAAATTATATGTCGCTTAAATTGTAATACTTAAAAAAACGGAGGGAGTAATTTCATTTGAATTTGCGTATTGAAAATTGTGCAAAAACAAAAATAACAAAACAAAAAAGAAACATAAGGAATACCATTTATCTCTAAACAGATTGTTTAATCATACATTATTTTAGATAAAAACTAAACTATAATCAATAAGAAAAATAAAACATAATATTATCTTTGTATTTTTTTTTTTTTTTTTTTTTTGGTTTTAATCATTCTACCTAATTCAAATATTAGCAAAGCTCCTTTACTATCTAACACCAGTTACCCCGCAATATCCACCGACCTTTAAACTCCATCTCTCTTACTT